CTGTCGCCCAGTGAATTAACTCGTAAAAATGTAATGCTTCATTATTTAGTTGTGGAAGCTTTAATTCCCGTAATCTCGAACATTTTGATTCTTTTCTCGCCTTTAATATTTTCGGCAATGCTAGTTCTCTGATCAATAGATATATTGTAGAAAACATAGCAAGTTATAGGTTTTCGGGATAAATATTTCGCTGAATATTCTTTATAACCATAGTTATAAGGCCTTCATGGAGGTGTAATGCCCTTTTAGTCATATTAAATATGTGAATAGGACCATGTTTGCACGTAGGCTTGGTGTTGATGTAAAACCACGTTCATGATAAAAGTAGCCAATTCTTTTAGGTTTTCCGATAGATTTGCTGTCCTCACATATAAACAAATAATCCTATTAGCACACATCAGCCATAGGGAATGTGCTAGCTTTCCTGGATCTTTGTTAGCTATAGCTAACAAAGATCCTTATAAGGAAGTGGGAATTGTACCTTTAATATCTAAATTCAGCGAAATATTTATCCCGAAAACGTATTACTTGCTATGTTACCTACAATATATCTATCGATCAGAGAACTAGCATTGCCGAAAATATTAAAGGCGAGAAAAGAATCAAAATGTTCGAGATTACGGGAATTAAAGCTTCCACAACTAAATACTGAAGCATTACATTTTTACGAGTTAATTCACTGGGCGACAGAAAAGGTAACTGAACCACCTATGACTTTGAACTAAGAACTATTTATGATAATATTGTCCTTTGTGGTGGTGCTGAAAACATCATTGTAACAGACGATATGATCAAACTCTATAAACAGGCAAATCAAAAATATAAAGAGTATTTGGAGAAACAGAGGACTGAGGAAAGGGAGAAAAATGCTAGACAGGGTGAAAAGAGAAAGGAGCCATTCCACGCGTAACGGATACTACAGTTGCCGTGTTTTTATTTACAAAATAATATTGTTCTATTATATTACCAATGTCAAATTTTTATAAATAGTTCTAAACTAAAGCTGTTTAACAAGGTTTTTATTTGGCAAAATTAGGTATCGTGGTTGACTCTTTAATTCCTTAAAAACTAATAATTTAAAGCGTAACGGTCGGGACTTTGCAATAGTCCCGCCCGTTACGCTTTAAATTATTAATTTTTAAGGAATTAAACAGTCAATCACGATACCTAATTTTGCCAAATAAAAACCTTGTTAAACAGCTTTAGTTTAGAACTATTTATAAAAATTTGACATTGGTAATATAATAGAACAATATTATTTTGTAAATAAAAACACGGCAACTGTAGTATCCGTTACGCGTAGAATGGCTCAAAGATAGAAATGGAAATAAAGGAGTTGGAACTTAAAAAACTTAAATTGGATCTATTGAAAAAAACGGAATTGGAGTCAATTGAAACAAGAATTAAACTTTTGAAAAAAAAATTATAAATAAGATTTAGTAGACTGTTTTATGCTGTGATTTTTTGTTTTTTTTAGAATTTTTATTTTGTTTATTTTAATAAAAAAAAAATCTTTATCAACATGGCTCAGTTAACCCCCCCTCCCCTGTCAAATTTGTTGGTCATGGAAAAACATATTTACTGGTCATGGAAGTCATGGAAATTAAAATTATATTGTTGGTGGGAACCCTGCTATAGGGAAAATGTAAAAGTTATAGTGTGCTTAAAGGTAATTTTCTATAAATTTTCTATCGGGCCGTATCCGGAAAAAAACATGGACAAATGCACATATTGAATCCGGTAGCGCCCGATAGATTATTTTATATAGGTCTCTATGGGGTATTTTAAGCAGGGTGGGCTTCCAAATACAACTGACTACTCATTTAGATGTCATAGAATAAAAAAACTTGTGAACACAAAATATTTAAAACATATTTTTTCACCACCCAATGCATTATAATTATACATGCCTTATTAACAATTTTTTTTATAATAAAACCAATATAAAAATTATAATAGTTACCTATTTAAACGTAATTTGGATTATAAATGAGTAAATATCTGCCTAGAATGTACATTATTTCACATTGGCATTTCAGATTTGTTTGAGGAATAGAATATATTTTTTTAATTTACGCCTTTTATGTGGTAGCTTATAAAAATATGATAACTTATGTTTAATTTATTCAAAGTATACATACCTACAAAATTATAGACATTATAAAAGGAAATTTTAAATTGAAAAAAATAGCATTCCAATTATTAAATTTTGGTAGGTACATTATTTTATGGTTTAAATAAGCTATTAGAAGTTAAACAAGGGTTAAAAAAACAACATTAGGTTTAAGATAGATTTATTATACTTCAAATTTGTAATTTTTGACGCAAACCGATCAACATTACCAGGCCTACTATCTGAGGTTGTTTAAATTAAAAGAAAAATGGCTTTTGACCATCCTAAACATTGATCTTTTTATCAAATTTGGTGAGAAACTAAATGACTCAATAAAAACATGTATTATTATTATTATTGAATAATTTTATTTATTTCTATATATTATTGTTTTGCATTGATGGTGATTGATAAATAGGTTAATAGATTATTTGTCAAAAGACCATTTCATTTGCAACTGGAAACTAAAATAGTTTTTTATGTTATAATTAAGATTTAAACAAAATATACTTGACTACACTTATCACGAGTACTTTAGTTAGTAGCAAATATTCAATTCTACATTGTCTTATTTCATTTCATTTAGAAGCGTCCAATGAAAGACTAATACAAATTTTGATTACCAGACAAAAAAGTTGCAACTTACACAGTTTTGAATCCGGCACTTAAACGTGACAATTAAGTAACAAAATAGAAATGCTGATATTAGGCAGGAATATTTTAGGCTGCTCATTTATAAGAGATTATTGATTAATGGAAAAGGAGGTCGACATATCTTATTTTAAATAGGTAAGCAATTTAGATAGATCGGAGATTTTGATTGCTTTTTATTAAAAAACACAACCACTACTAATTAATATTAATAATAGGGTATAACATGGTTCGAAAAATAAAGGTTTAAAAATATTGTTTTTCTTTGGTCTAGGATTTGTACAGAAATACAAAATCTTACAGTAATTATTGAAATATCAAAACTAATTATGTTTAAATTTTTTTCAATTGGCTATAAATCTGTTTTTTTTCAAATATATTGCCTGATCTAATAAACGTAGGCTTCAAGATGTTATATTTTATAATATAAAATTTATATCGTAGGCTAAATTTTAACTCTAAAATGTAAAAAAAATGTCGGGCCGAACTCAGGCTCATTTATGTTCCTAGTTTGTAGAACTATCAAAGCCAAAATGATCCTTTTCTATGGAGGATGACTCCATGTTTCTCCTTGTATCCTACAGTTTGCTGTATGTTTTGGCCTTTTTCTTTTTTGCCATGCCTGTCTATTATTAATTTTTGTTTTCCATCTGGTTACTTTTAATGTTCTTAGATCATACCTTAAATATATTTTCGTTGTTCATATTTTTGCCTATTTCATGTTTCATTAGTCTTCGCAACTCTACTTCCCCTGTTCTAAGTGGTCCGTATATTTTTCTCATAATCTTTCTATCAAAAAATTTTAATTTTTCAACCTCTTTGTTGGTCACAGTCATTGCCTTTGCCGCATATGTAAGTACAGATTCTATGGCTGCCTTGTATATTTTTATCTTTGTTTGTGTTACTTATATTCTTATCTTTGTACTCTGTATCTTTCCCATCTATATTCTTTGATTAATTTCCTGTGTTTGGTAGTTTTTTTCATTAATTATTACTCCCATATATTTAAAAGTAGTCACCACTTCATATTTGTTGTTTCCTATTTCGGCTATTTGTTTAGTTTTGTTATGTTTATTGCCTACCATCAGTTTTGTTTTTTTCTTGGTTAATCGTCAGTCCTCTCTTCTTTGCTTCGTTTGCAATAATTGCCAACGAAGCAAAAAAGAGAAATTATTGTAAGTGTAAGTGTCCGAGTATGCAATTATTTGTACGGATTTATGTCGACCTCATGACTCCTTCTAGTGCTAAAATAAATAACGTTGCAGAAAGTGAATTGCTTTGACTTACCCCTTTATAATATTCGAACTCTTTTGATTCCCCTTCTTCTTTCAGTGCCAGATTTCTTATTTTTCTCGGTATATTTAGCTTTTTAAATCTTCTTTTAAAGTTTTGCGAGAGATGTTACCGAATGCTTAAAGTCTATAAATAATATATCAAGTCCTATTTTATGTTCGTGAGCTTTCTCTAGTATCAGTATCATGATATGTATTGGGTCTACAGTTGATTTTCCTTTTATAAATCCGTATTGATAATCTCCTATTTCCTTTTTTACACACTTTTTGATTCTGTTGTTGATGATTGTTGGCAATACTTTGTATGCCGTGTTAAGTATTGTTATGCCTGTGTAATTATTGCATTGTCTTGCATCTTCTTTCTTAAATATTGGAATGATAAGTTCCATTTTTCTGACATTCTTTCTTCATTCCATATGTTCATTATTAGTTTATGTAGGTGCTCTATTAAGTCCGTTCCTCCTATTTCAATAAATTCTCCACATATTTAATCTGGTCCTGTCGCTTTTATGTCTTTAACATGTTGACTGCTTTCTTTACTTCAGCATAGGTTGGGGTTTTTTCTGTTTCTTCGTTTGTATCATCTGTTTCTATCATGTTTTCTTCCATATCAGGGTCTTAGTTCTGCTTTTCCTTAGCAAATTTTTTTAAGTGGTTCTCCCACTCTTTTTATCTATTTTTGTTGTTGAAGACTTTTTTCTTTTGCTGTTAAATAATGTTCTGCTATCTTTACTATTGTTTTCTATTTGTATCATTATTTTATTTATCCATTGCATTTTTTTATTATTCTCATTCCTTCTTTTCTAGCCTTTTTATGTTTCTTGATCTTGATCTTCTCCTGTCCTTAACTTTACTTAACTTACGTCTGTTTCGATTTTTATAGTCTTTTCATTAAATGATCAATCTGGTTTAGGATATTCATTCCTGGTCGTAGCCATGTTACATTATGTTCTTCTTGTGCATTCAATTAACATATTCTTCTCTGATGCCAGGTAACATAACCTCGTTCCATTATAATATACGATAAACCAGAAGTCAAATGATATATCATTTGACTCCTGGTTTATCGTATATTTTCCCGCTACATTCATTAAAAATTTCTCCTTTCCTATTTTGGCATTAACATCTCTCAATATAATAAGGGTGTCATGTTTCGGTATTTTTACACAAGCTTTTTCTATTGTTTCGTAAAATATTTGTTTTTCTTCATCACTGGAGTCCTCAGTTGGAGAATATACATTTATTATGGCCATGTTTGCTTTTTTTCCTTTTAATTTCTTAATTTCGCGGTTACTAACCATAAATGCTGTACCATTCCTGCCTTGCTTTTTTTTAACTCCATAATATACTGTATATTCGTTTTTGTCTTTTTTTCCTTCTTTTTTCCACTTAACCTCTTGTGTGGCCAATATTTTGTATTCCATATCTTCTCATTTCCCCCGCTACCTGCTCCATTTTACTTTTTATTAGCATTGTTCTTATGTTCCAAGTACATATTCTTAACTTTTTATTTTCGTTGTATTTTCTCTTCATTATTATCTGTTTTTTCTGTTCCATTTGTTTCCTTTTTGCATTTTCCTATTCATTTGCCCAGTTCTTTCCGTTCCTTTTTTATACTTATGCGTTCAGTTTTTGATGGATCTGGATCTTTTTTATTTTCTTTCCTTATTTCCATTAATGTATGGTCTTCTGTATTCCACTTAAAGGCTTTACTATTAATATATAGTTTCTTATGTCACTTTGCAGAATGCCCCTTTATTTTTTTCCTCTCTTGCTATATCTCTTAAAGTTTTTTTTGTATTTTTCTTTCGTTCATTGTTTATTGTTATTTTCTAACATTTCTAGTCTAGTTTGCAACTCTTAAAGTTTCTTTTTCAGACCTTGTTTTTCTTCTCTCCGTTTCTGTTTAATTTTTGATATTTCCTCCCTCATCATCCTCGTCTCTTGTTTGTTAATACCTTTTTTATGTGGGTTTTCTTCTAATTTAAATAAGTCTTTAAGATCTGGCTTATTTCTTTTGGGTATTTTAACCTATTTGCTTTTCCTCGTTCTTCATAAGACCAAATCATATATTTGTGTAAAGGTGTAGTGTCTTTCCTGTGTAGTTTTACGGGCGTTTAAAAAGTTTCGCCCTGGCTGGGGTATGAACCCCAGGCGCCGGGATAAAAAAAGTCAAATAAATATAAATAAAGTAAATAAATAGAACCGCAATGTGGTGATGGGGTTAGCTATATAGAGGCGAGGGGTGTGATTCCACCTCTAAAGCCTCCTCACGGAGGAGTTACATGGTACGAGCGGTAGCAGCGACGCGGTCTTATTCCTTTATTAACAGTCTTTAATATTAGTATGGAGCAGTGATAGCTTTTTCTCGCGGGGCGATTGTGGGGCCAGTTTTTATTTTATCCGGATAGAACACGAAGTCTTGAAAATTGAAAGAAAAGGTGGCGGAGATAGGGATGTAAAAGTGAAAATTCTCACTTGGCTATGGCAAAATTTTAAAATACACAGGTAGGCCTTATTATGTTTTATCATTGGCCGTTTAGTCTCGGGTTACTGAGACGTCTTAATACCTGTAGTGTGGAACTTGTTGAATAGTTCTGTTACATCTTTTTCAACTGGAATACATCCTGCTTGTCGTTAAATCTCCGCAGCTGTTATGTATCGTGGGGCGCCTTAGTATTTTTGGCTGTAGTCTTTCGAGATGGAGATATTTCGTGATCGTGTACCTAACTCGTGTAACAAACTGGTGCAGCATATGTTCAAAATCCTTTTGTAAAGCACTTTTGTAGTCAGTGTCAGTGCGTTTATCGGCGAGAGCCTATTGCTATTGCTTTCGTTGCGCTACAGAGTTTAAGGCGTCTAAATACTATGGTGCGCCGTTCTATTTGTTTACCGTCGAAGATGGTTAAGTTAACTAGCTCTATTTTGACTGAATTTATCCTGATCAGCATACTGTTCCCAGAGGATTTCAGTTGATCAAGATAAATCTTTACCTGTTTGTATCCACTGACGATCAGAAAGGGTGTAGTTCCCACACGAAACATTTACATCTAATGGATATCCTCTATGGATATCCAGAATATCCATATTGCAGAATCGTATAAGAAAAATCGAACAAAATTTATTTTTTTTCATTACAGCGCCATCTATTACAAATATGAAAAAATGTTTTTAGATCAAATCTACCTATTTTTAGTCGAATGATCGGAATTTGCAATTAAAAATAGCGTGTTCCATTGGAAATTTACCCCCTGTTCCCCCTATAAGGAGGAGAGTGCACAGAGAAAAGTAATCTCTTGATTTTACTATATCTGTCTTGACTCAAATAAATTATTTATTTCGATATGATACAAGAAGATATTTATTTAGTGGAAAACTTGGGTTTATTTGACTTTTTAAACTGATGGTTTGTTTAATACAAGTAAATATTTAGTTGACTTTTTATCTCAGGTTTAGTAGAATCTTACTTAAAGAAACAAAACATTTCCTTGAAGTCAGTAATTCATTTTTTTAAATTAAATATGAAGCTTTCTTAAAGAAACAAAATATTTACTTACAAGAAGAAAACATTTATTTCAGACAAATAATTAGTACCTTTTAATATTATAATTTCACGAAACATATAGTGATTGAACCAAACAAATGTTTGCTTGTTTTAATACTATGATTTATTTATTTTAATGTTGTTAATTACTTGATATTTGGTCGGGAAAATTAAATTAAAAAACGTTTATTCCAATATTTTTTATTTGAACAAAACAAGTGTACACTTGTTTTGTTGTAAATACGTATTTACAATAAACATTAAAAACACACAATATAAAATTAACAATAAACAAAACATATAATATATGAGCGGACAAAAATAGGAACAAAAAATACTTCAGTCACTGAAGTTTAGTGTAAATATTAATGCACGGCATTAATAAAATACACCAAGTCTGTGGGTAAAAGTCATAAGAGGATAAGTCAAAACAAGCAATTTTTCAGCAGAACCTTAAACGTGTTCGCATTAATTCAGGAAATATATTTATGGGACATTTGAACATTTTCAAAAACTTAATTTATTATTATCAGATAGGTATCTTTGTTGAAAACAGGTACCTATAGTTTAAAAACAAATACATATAGTTTGCCAACCAAAATTACTTGCACTTGTCAAATACAAAAAGAAACGGTTTATTTTTAGTTTATGGCCTGTAAGTAAAATGTGCAATTATATTTAAAAGCAACAAGTCAAGTCTGATACATGCATGATCCAAAATAAAATAGGTACCCATATTATCATATAACTTTGTAGTTTCCAAACTACCTAGGTACACAACATTTTAATTAACTAAATCACTTTTACTTACCAACAAAACTAAAAAGCAAATGGGTTAAATTATTTTCTTTGAAGAATTCTTCCATACTATTAAACATAAGCACTTAAACACAAAACTATAACCGTTGTTAAACACCTCCTTCTGTTAAGTTAAGAGTCTTAACGCTTTGCCAAGGACGCTCTGCGAGTTTGTGTGCAAATGCTGCCGGCTGCTGGACAAGCGTCTTTGTCTTTGGAGTCAAATGCTCTAATTGGCTCCGCGAGTCACGTGGACATAAAAGCAAATAAATATGTATTTGCTTCAAGTAAATGTATTTTTGAAACAAACAAATCACGTGTTTACGTTAATTATATGACATACATTGTATCAATTCTATTATTTTGTTAAAATAAGATAGTATATGCTTGTATTAACATTTGGTAAAACTAAATCCATACAACCTATATCCAAACAATTTAATTAATTGCTCTAAATAAATATTTCTTTACAATTAATTACAACAATAAGTTGTTTTCAAGAAACTCATGATTTACAACCAAATAATAGTATTTTCTTATTGTAAACAAGAAGTTACTACGAATAAGACAATTTTACTTCATACAAGAAAAACTGTTTCAAATAAATGCATTTTCTTAAATCAAGAGATTACTTTTCTCTGTGTATGAGGACCAATTTTAGTACTGATTGATTTCCCCCCTCTAATCATTTAATTTTTATTTTAAACATTTTTCGTAAAATGCATACTAACTGAGATATTTCAGTTTCAAGTTAAATGACTCACCCTGTATAAATGTCCGAGCCTGCTGGACATGGTGTGCATATCCAATGCATATCAACTAGATATAGTATTGTATGCAATTTGGTTGTCATCTGTATTTAATATGGTTTTAATGATATTAATTAATGGATATTTATTTTCCAATAAATTACATTGGGTTTTTCCGAGGGGTAAACCACTGATTTTTTTAAATTAAAAATTGCAGACGAATTAATGGCTAAAGAAAACAATCATATGGGTAGTCATGCGTAACGTGTCGCTAAGAGAAATTTCTTATTGATAAGGATTTTTCCTTATTGATAAGTTATCAATGATAACGACTGGTAAGGAAAAATCAGAACACAACGTTAACATAACGTTGAACATTAGTCTCGCTGGTTTACCCCTCGGGTTTTTCTAATAAAATAAAACTCTTATTCTTTAATGTAAACATTTATTTTTATAAAAACAAGAATTAACGAAGAACAACATATAACTAAATAAGTGAAGTCTCTGGTCTGCCTACAGCCAAGACTTCTTCTACAACTTTCGTTTGCCTTTTGATCATCCCAATCATTTAGGGCTAATTTTACCTATTTCCCGTGATCCCCAAAATTGGTTCAAATCCAATCTGGGCAACCATTCCCCCAAAACCCTGTGTAACAAAAACCAAAATAAAAACATATTCACAAGAATAATAGTACATTATAGACCAGGCGTAAAAAACACATATTATCACCGAGCATACTTTTTACTTCTGAGATAGCCGAGGCAGTAGATTGTGTGCGAGGCAATTAAGAAGCTTTTGCCGTCGTGTTTTATAGACTATTTTTTTTAGCATTTAACTAAACAAAAATTTGAGATTCTTTCACATCATTTTTAGGATAGGATAGCTATCCTAGGTCAGTGGCATCCAGTTGCTCCCTGGTTTAAAAAAAAAAATTATATTTTTTTTATTAAAAAACAATGCAACAATTTATTATTATACTAAAATTCCCACTGTTTTTTCATCAAAAAAAAAGCTTTTTAGGGGGCGTCGCAAAAAATTTAATTTTTAACGACCACCCTATTATATTGTATCTACCAGTTTACTATTACATTAAAATCATAGATATAGGATTCAAATTCACAAGAAATGCAAGAGATATGTCGAATTGACATTGACATGTCAATGTCATTTAATAAAGTAGTGTGGAGCAATTTGAAAAGTTTGTGTGTTTATCTATAGTCAGTACTCCAAAAAGTTCAAGTTTCTGAGCAAACCCTATTATTTTTACAGGCCTTTTTTAATCCAACCTTACACCATTAATTAATTCTTCATTTTTAAAAGACTAAAATGAAATAAAATTATATTCTAATGGAATACGGAAAAAAAATTTGTTAAGTACGTTTTCTTTTTCCATGACTAAAACATTTTTGAGGTAGCCCAGATTTTTTAAAATATAAAAAATGGCACAATATCAATTTATTTTTATTTCATATCGCCTTATTACCTACTTTAAAATTACGTTCAAAATTAAGAATCCTAGTGATGTACATGTGTGTTCTGAATGGACCTTTAAATGTATAAAGACATACTAGTGAATAAAAATTAAGGACCAGTAGAAAAAGCATACAGATATTAATAGTGTATACACTTTTATTGTAAAATTTTAATAAATTTCCAACCTACATAAATATTTATAAAATTTTGTCGTTTTAGGATCTACTTATCACACTTAGTACCTTGCTCCGAGGCTCGGTGTACGAGCGCCTGAGGTGGACGTTCAAGCTGTACGACGTGAACGGCGACGGCTGCATAAGCCGCGGCGAGCTGTCCGAAATCGTGGTGGCGGTGCACGAGCTGATGGGTCGCAGAGCGCACCAAGTCGAAGACGATCGAAAGGCGCGCGAACAAATCGATCGCGTATTCCGAAAACTGGACTTGAACCAGGACGGCGTCATTACCATCGAGGAGTTTATGGAGTCCTGTCTCAAGGACGACGTCATCACGAGGTCCCTTCAGATGTTTGACACGGTGCTGTGATCACATTAGGCCGCGCATATAATGATAAAACTAAGGAAATGTGCATTATTGCATATAATCTAGGATCTGGCTACATAATAAATCATTTATGAGGTACAATAAATATTTCTAGATAAAAAGTGTACTAGAACAAAAATATTAAATTTCATTCCAGTATTTGTTGCAATAAAATGCAAAATAAATTTGCTAGTTTTTTCTGAAAGAAAGGATCCCGGAGACTGCTAAGAAGTGGCTGTTTTTTTTAATTACAAAATTATTATGACTTATTGTAACTTTGTCAATTGTACAATAAGAAGTTTGCAATTCATTGATTAAACATATTTTTTTTACCCGACAAAACAGATTCCTGCATAAGAAATTGTTAATACATTTCTCCGTCCTAATAAAAAACTACATTTTGATTCGAATCAATAAACTAAACAAAACGCGTTTGTTATATTTTTTTTATAAAAAAATGTCGTTTTAGATTAAATCGAACCTAATCTTTTCTTTGCTTTCAAATAAAAAATAACGCAAAACTGTAGATACGTAAAATCCTTAAAAAGTGGAATAACAGAGGCGCGAATAACGCCGGGTTTCTTTAGGAAGAACGCTGTTATCTACATTATCATATTTTATTTTGTATTTACATGTAGGTACCCATTTTTTTTATAAGAGTTTAGTACTAAAATAGGTTTCGATACCAATAAATAATGTGGGTATGTACAGTGTACATATATGTACATATATGTACGTTTCTCTTACACAGGAACGAGACACAATTCTTATTTTAAAAAACGTGTTTTAACCAGGACTTCGGTCTCAACTCATATCACCCGAAAATCCTGGAAACTTGTAGATACTGAAACAGTTTAATAGATACCAACTTTCTTTCAGGATTATTCCAAAATCGTTGAATATACTAAAATATAATAATAATACGTCAGTATTTCGATAAGTAATTACATTTTTTTTATAAAGATTTGTACATTTAAACGCATCATTTTGAGACGAATCCGATATAAAAATCTCAATTTCCATAAAAAATTTAGGTAAACATTTTCTTTATCAAGACGGCAGATTTAAAGTAAACTAAATAATTATTAAAAAATTGACAAATTCGGCATCAGTTTTTTCTTAATGGAATGAGTTCGGATAATTTTAGATCCTATTCAGCCATAAACACTTCTAGTACATCATACATGATTTTATGTAGCTAGCTCTTAGTCTATCAGTGCTCTTAATGACCACTAAGAACCATTTTGTATATTCGTTTTAGTCTTAATCGGGTAGATTAATTATTTAGATTTTTCGAGAATTTTTATTACATTTGTATTTACATTATTCACATTTTTATATTAAAACTGAGTTCATTTTATAAAAAGAACTTTAATAATGTCATTCAAATTAGAATACCACACAAATCATTAATACCTACCTAACAATAACCTTACATACATTTTTTTACAATATTCTACAAAAAATAAAATAAGGAAAAATGGCACTCTAGTCTACCTTATAGGTGGTAAATACTTAAACAGGGTGGTATACCTAGATAATTCAGAAGAATTGTAAAGCAACATATTATAACCAAAATAACTTTGTTGTTCAATTTATAATATAAATTATTGGAGAGTTTTTGCATCAACAAATACTTAAGTTTCACTTAAACGGAATATGTTATATATTAATTAAGTAAAGTAGCGAATATTTTGCTACTTAAGTATGCGCAAAGATTCAAAATAGTATAATATATATAATGTACAGGGTTTTTTAGTGGAATGCTAATACTGAATGGGCTCAATCCTTTCATGATTTTAAGGAAAAAACCGCTTTATTTTGGAGATATAGGTTGTTCAAAATTGGACCGTCATTCGACCCTTACCAAAAATGGGGCGGATCCCTCAAAATCTTTTTGATTTCGATTTTTATCTTGTCTACTGGATACTCCTTCATGCAAGTCATAACTGCGTATAGACATGCAAATAAATGCTTTTTAGGTTTGTATTCGAAAGTATAAATTAATGTCAGTGTGGACGCCATCGATCAAATAAATATTTGTTGTTCGACAATAGTGGGAGAAAGAGGAGCGTGAAGTTAGCCTAGCACACAATATTTTATTCAACTACCGCAAGAAATATACAAAATAGTATAAAAACGAATCATGAACAATGAAATAACCATAACAATTAAGGTGCAAAGAATTTAAAGCCAATTGTGTTTGATATTTATCTGACACCTGTCAAACAATTTTAACGTCACTTTTTTGCAAATTTAATTTAAAGCTAACTTCAGCCTGTGTTCGAAATGAAAAGTTGGGGAATTCATTATTTCGCCCAACCTCAGTAAGCCTTACTGAGTAAGGTCACGAAGTTACATATTTTTGCGGGTGTTGAATAAATGTGTTTATCTACTCCTACATTGACGAGCTGGGACTTTATGGCGTTTTAGTCACGGGCTGAAGTTAGTAAATTGGGGAAAAGTGAGGTTAAATCCGTTGACATTTGACAGATGTCAAAACAAATAAAATTGGCTTAAAATTCTTCTTAGTTCATCTTAGATAAAGTATAGTATGTAACTCGTTTTATAAACTTCTCTAGACACTTGTTTTTATTAAACACTCACTTGCAAGCTTCGCTCGTGCCTAATAAAACTCGTAACTAAAATGGCGTTTATAAAACTTGACACATAATATACCATTTTATGCCAAATTTAAAGATATAAGTATATAGCTGTTTTAAAGATATTTAGAAAAAACGCATTTTTTTAAACACTAAAATAAAGAGGTTATCAAGTTGATAACTTTTTTAAATTTGGATTAAATAAAGCTGTAGATAAGGTAAGCAAATCAAAAAGAAAGGAAGGGAAGCGAAACAGGCGTGGCCTACGGCGCGCCGCGGCGCCTCGACCCGAAGTTGTTTTCTCAGTGCCAGTATCGGTTTGTATTTTTAAGAAATCGTTGCGATTAAGTTAAACTGAAGGGATTTTAAACAAAGCTTTTTATTTTATTGCAGATATGCATTTAAACGCAACAAACAATTTCATTAAAAAATATAAGTATATATTCTCAAATAAAAAACGAAAAAATATTTTTTTTCTAAATTAAATGTTCTAATAGGCCACCAGCAGCAGTTAAACAATACCCAACCTATAATAAAAATTCCTGCTTACGTTAAACAACAATTCAGGACCAATGTATTAACGATTTGCACCCTAGGGCTAATTTATTGAGATTACTTCTTATTATTATTATTATTATTATTATTATTATTATTATTATTATTATTACTTAATCGCAAAATTCCATGCAGCGATCTATGTCGCCTAGGTGTCGCTCGTTACCCCTCGTCAATTTATATGGATTATACTCATGTTTGGGTAAAGTTTTGGAAAACGTATCCTTAGAAATATCAAACAGAGCAGCAAGTTGTCTGGTACATTGTGTAGGGTCTTGCTCTACAGTTGCACAAATCAAAATGTCCCTTGCATTTTGATCGTCATTCCGTCTTGGCTGCCCATGCGTACGAATATTTACCATTATTTTCTGAATTGTACCTACACTGGGTATAGGCCTACTTTGAAACATATTTTGAAATAAATTTTGTATTTGACGATACGATCGACGAGTGTAATGCCATACCATAAATTGGTATTTTTCCTCTCGGGTAAAAGCCATTTTGTTTTAGAAAATACGATTATTTGTAACAAAGACGAACGCAACGTTTTAATGCAATTCACAGACAGTCTCTAGCGAGAGAGCTTGTTAAGGTACGGATTCGTTGATGCGACTCGCGGCTGCGGCTTGCGGCTGCGACCTTAGCCGCGCCACTGCTTAGTACAATTTGTGTGTATACGTTTTGGTTGGCGCGTTCAGTCGCAGTCTGCGACTGAACGCGTCAACCAAAACATATACAAACAAATTGTACTAAGCAGTGGAGCGGCTACGATCGCAGCCGCGAGTCGCATCAACGAAACTGTACCTTTAGACTCGTAAAGCAACCACTCCCCACCACTTCTCCGCGCATAAGAGGGGGTGGGATATATTCTCACTGTATCTATTCGGTTTAATACGCACTGTATAATATGTATATAAATAAATATGTTAATGATTCAAAATATAATTGAAAAACCACCCTGGGTATATCTTTAATTTTCTCGCTTTATTTGATATTTATAAAGGCAAATGACAATAAAATTGCACTATATCTATTAACATTACTATAAAATTATTTAATGAAAATTTTTTTTTGTGTTTATGTTAATGTAAACTTCCTGTTTTAAAATATGTTAGTACTTATTAAGGTATAAAAACTGACCACAAATATAAAGAGCCACAAGGTAAAAGTTTCCAGTGTACATTTATTGTTATAGATAACAAAAAAGTAAATATTGTACAACATGTATCATGAAGATTAACTGATACAACATGCATGAGCTTCCGCTATTTCCCTGAGTCTAATAACAAACGTGGCCAACCAAAATTTATAGTCTGTAGAAGTAAATACCTTGTGACCTTAATTCCAGGATTCAATGGACGTTTGTGGGTCATTTTATCTTGTTCTACTTACTTATAAATTACCTTCTCCGCTATAAATTCAATATATAGTATAATATATAATATATAATATATAATATATAATATATAATATATAATATATAATATATAATATATAATATATAATATATAATATATAATATATAATATATAATATATAATATATAATATATAATATATAATATATAATATATAATATATAATATATAATATATAATATATAATATATAATATATAATATATAATATATAATATATAATATATAATATATAATATATAATATATAATATATAATATATAATATATAATATATAATATATAATATATAATATAATATATTATATATAATATATTTTTTCTACTCCTATTGCATATTATTGACATTATTTGGGTTTTTTTCCGTAAATAATTGTAACCAAAATAACAGCCCGGCCTAACAACGTGAATAATTATTCAATAATAATGA